AGGAGAACATGGAGTTGGACCCAGTACAGTATGAGCAGCCTCTATGGAGCCTGCCTAAGGTGGGGGAGGGGACATCTGAAAGCAGGACGATACCTGGTCTTACCGGACAGAAAACAGAAACCAACAAAGCCAGCAATTTGGAGGACCTACCAAATCTTTTCAGAGCTTAGACTTATAGAGGAACCATGAACAAATGCACTACCTTACTTGATGACAAAAAAAAAAAAAAAAAAAGAAAGAAAAAAAGTTAATCAGTATCTTCCGTAAAGTCAGCACCAGGGAGGGGGGAAGAAAAGTAGGAGGGAAAGAGGCAAAGAGAGAGAAATGGACAGAGGGAAGGAGAGGAAGGGAGGGTGGGAGAAAGAGAGTGAGGCTTTTTGTGAACCTTCAGAACACTGCCCACTTCTTGGCAGAATTTTTATTCCCTTATAGTCTCTCTCTCTCTCTCTCTCATTTTTATTCCCTTATAGAGTCTCTCTCTCTCTCTCTCTCTCTCTCTCTCTCTCTTTCTCTCTCTCTCATACACACACACACACACACACACACACACACACACACACACACACACCACTGGGAGGGGGAAAACTTGGTTTGGTTTCTTAGACTTAATAACCTGGGGGTCTATTTCCACATGGGAGCTGGAGAGTGGAAGATTGAAAGCAGCTAAGAAAACGAAGACCTTCTAAGGCCTGTGGCCTAGGTAACTGGGTGAAAGCCATTGAAGGCTCTGCGCCCTGCTAAGTGACAGTTTCAGACAAATGGCATTTACATTTGAAACAGTGAAGAAACCATCATCACTGAGATGAAATGACTGTTACACTGGCACCTGCCAGAGATTAGTCAGCCCATCCAGGAATACTGCATTAGGCTAGACTCCTTCCATCTTCTCCGCACATTTATCACACAAATCCTCTTGCATAGGAATAGCTGCTGAATTAGTCCTATTACGAATGCCCTGAACTTAGGTGGTATTTGCACAGAAAATTATCAGTTTGCACCCAGGCCTCTCCAATACTGCACATTTGAACAGAAACTCTAAAGCTAACGGTCTGTCAACATTTCCACTACAAGCTTTTCTTTTTTGAGTTTATGATTCAACATTAAACAATTAGGGGTAATGCCTGGGGAAAATGGTTTCACTCTGAAACACACTAGTTTTATTTAATTAGAAGAATGGTCTGCACTAAACAAATGATCTTAATAATGAGGACCTTAAACTAGTTAAAAAATAAACTTTCTTATAAACTACAAATAGAATGTACAAATCTTGCCTTCCAAACTTGTCCTAATGTAACAAATAGTTATCGTCCTAGGCTTCTTGACATCTTCCCTTCCACATCCAGTCACCAAATCTTGGTGCCTTTACATCTTCAGCTGCACTTGAACCAAATTATATCATCACAACAACCATCTGGCAAAACAATGTCACATGTGACTTCCAACTATTATTATGAGACCCGTTATTTGCTCTACAAACCAACATGTGCATACATCCTGCAGGGAGCTACAATGACTTTTCCAAAACATGAATAATGTCATGTCTTTCATATTGACATCCTTCAGTGGCTTCCTACACTTAAAATGTAAACTCTCAGCATGGTCCACAGGATCTAGCCAGTTGGTAGTATTATTCTGTCTAGCCTCACTCTCCAAGTTCCCCTATTGACCTTCCAGTTTCTCACCTTATCCTTGCTACTTTGTGTATCAAAGCCTTTGTTCATTCCACTACTTTCAGGGCTGCCCTGTCCCACCCCCAGTTTAACAACTACTCTTGTTCAAATCTTTAGATTTCAGTTATTTAAATAAGATTTGCATGCTCAAATCTCCCATCTTCTTACATCCTAAGCCTTTTCCTTCATAACACAAGTGTACTTACTTGTTTCTTTCATAACACAGTGATATTTCTACAGTTGTAAAGGCTTGACTAATATGTGCTTTTCTCACTAGGTTGCAAGACCCATGATACTAAAGCAAGAAGTGTTTCCTTAATAAAGTGTTCCTTAATAAAAGTGTTTCCTAGCATACAGCAGGCATTCACAAATGTGTGAATGTGTCAATAAAAATAATCATGTAATAGAGTTGTGGGTATATATCAGTTGACAAAATGTTTGCATAGTGTGCACAAAGATTCCCTAGCACACCACAAAACCAGCATGGTGATATATGACTATAATCCTAGCATTTAAGAGGTATAGGCAAAAGGATTAAAAGTTCAAGGTCATCTTCAACTACATACAGAGTACAAGGCCAACCTGAGCTATAAGAGATCTTTTCTCAAAACAAAAATAATCAGATTGAAATGGTAACGTCATTTTAAATATTATTCACTCCAGAGAAATAGCAAGAGACTCAGAAGTTAAGAGGAAATTTTGTTTTCATCTCACTGCTCCACAAAATTCAAGCAAAGAACTTCACAGGACTCTTTAGTCCTAGTAAATAGCAACAGAACAAGATAGAACTGGCCCTGGCTGGACAGAGCCACAGGCACAGCTTGTGGGAACAGAAACAAACTTTTTATTTGTTAAAGAGGATTGTTCTGGCCTACCTCAGGCCTTCTGGGAGGATCAAAAGAGGTCATGCTTAGACTCACATCTATGAGGGAAAGCATGCTCTCATAATAGATCTACAGTCACAAAAGTACCATGAGGCAGAGGAAAACCCAGGATTAAGCATCTGAGTCTTCCCTAACTGGCTCTGCCTAACTGCTCCCCCAGCACCGGGTCTCAAGAACCCTCCTCAGGTTCACTTTTATTGGAGGAAAGTAACAGTCCCTGATTTACTACACTCTTACGTCATCTGACACCTTACATTGCTTTAGATCATTATTTGCTGGCAGGTTATTAATATCTCCTGGCACATAAGCATTCTTCTTAATACTGTGCTGGCAAATCTTGAAAAAAAAAAAAAAACTTAGTCTACCTTTGGCAAATTATAGAAATGATAAGTTATACGAAGTCCACTGACAAACTTATTAAATAAATTGGATAAAAATATTAAGCTATGCTCTCACCTCATACTCATTAAAGGGGGAACTATCTTTTATTACACATCAACACTAATAAGCTATGTAAAAGGTATTATGGTACTTTCTCCACGTCTTTTTTCAGTTTTTTGAGACTAGAGTCTCATGTATCCCCAACTAGCCTTGAAATATATATATATGTATATATATATATATACATATATATATGTATGAAGAAGGATATTATATACATATATAAAATTATATATGTATATAATATCCTTCTTCAGCCTCCCAAATGCTTGGGTTACAGCTAGGCTTCACCTTCCTGGGCCTAATCATGGCTTTAAAAGGATCAGAAGTACAGGACATTTTGAACATAACTAGTTTTGGCAGGTTTTCAGATTCCTTCTCAGAAAATCGGGGCTTGGGATTTCCAGCACTTATATAGAGCTTTTATATAAAAGGGCATTTGATGACTTGAAAAAAATCAATTTCAATATTCATCTCATTAAATCACTCTGAGAGCAAAAATGATTTTTAAAAAGCACTCCAAACACACTGAAAAGGACAATTTATCAATTTAGATGACTTAGGCAGGACTCCACTTCTGATTAAGTTGTGACATAAGCAACAACTGATAGCGGGGAGACGGTCTCTTCTAGGATTCTCACTGTTGGAAGGTCGCCACAATCTTTTCCCTTAACTTCCAGACGCCAACTTTCCAAAAGTAAAGTTAATAAAGTAGAGCATGAAGATGCAACGCTGATTTTGCAAAAGGCACTTTCCTACAGACTCCTCCCACGGCTCCTAAAGTCTTTCACTCCCTTCTGAGTCTGACCTGGACTCGGCCGTGGGCATCGAGGGCTCGGGGAGGAGGAACTCAAGGGGGCTGTAACGGTTCACCATGCTGGGGAGGTGGGGGGGGGGGTCAAGCCGGAGAGGTGGGAGCAGAGCAGTTCGCGCCGCCAACTGCTGGGTGAGTGTTAGAGCAGTGGCCGGTTCGCGGTAACTAAAGTTCCGAGCAGCCTGACTAAACCCTCAAATCCAGGCACTGTCAAGGCTAACACCCGCGCCGAGGGCGGCAGACGGATGCGTCCCAGCGGAGCGCGCCTCTCGGCGTCAGGCCGCTGGAGGAGGCAGCGAGGGGCGGCACAAGTTAGGTCCTCGGCCGGAGCAAGCCCAGCCAGGGCCGGGCGGAGAGGAGCTCGCTCCGGATCCGCAGGACAGCACGGGGCACAGCTGGAGAACGGGGGAGGGGGGGAAGCAGGGGGTGTTCCCGGGGATCCGGGTGCGGGGACGCCGATCCGGGTGGGGACACGTCTCCCTCCGTGTCCGGGAACCGGAGGGACAGCCGGTGCCGGGGGATGGAGGGGGGAGGCCTTAGCCGAACATCGCACCCGGCACCCGGCTACTGGAGTTACGGGGAGGCGGCGCCACGGGCAGAAGCCGAGGCGGGCAGGCTGGGGGCTCCCCCGCAGCCAGCACCCGGGTTGGGCGGGGACCGAAGGGGAGGCTGGACCGCAGGGCCTGCTCCACCGGACCACGGCGGCGACGCCGGCACCTCGCCTCTTTCAGGCCTGCACGCGCCACAGGCCGCAGCTGGGACCAACCCGGGCGTCCGCCCGCGGCCGCCGCCACCGCGGGGGTCGCAGCCCGGGTCCGTCCCCCGGCAGCCTGGGCTCCAGGAGACCCGGCTCCGTCCCGCAGTCCCGCCCCGGCAGTCCCGGCGTCCGAGCGTCCGCCCTGCCGCCGCCGCAGCGCGGGTGACGGCGCTGAAGCCGGGGCGGGGACGCGCGGGAGGAAGGGGCGGCCGGGGGGCGGGCCGGCGGCGGCCGCACCGGGGGTACCCGCGGCGTGGGGCCGGGCGCCCCCGATCGGCCGGCGCCGGGCCAGCACCACCTGCGGAGCTGCCCACGCGGCCGCGACCCCGCCGCCCCTCGCTCCCGCCACACACTCACACACACACACACGCGCGCGCGCAAACAAAACAAGTTGCAGGTCGCCGCCGCCGGAGGGGGCCGGGCGGGTCACTCACCCTCATCCTGCTCCGTGGGCTCGGGTCGTCGGGCCGCGAGGACAGGGAAGACCAGAGGACCACGAGCCCCAGGAAGCTCCCCACCACCAGCAAACTGCGTAAGATGAACCCGATCTTCAGCCTCATCTTCCTCCGGCGGCGAGAGACACACAGCCCGGCGCAGCCGCCGCCACCGCTCTCCCCTCCCTCTTCCCCCTCCCCCGGGCCTCCTCCTCCTCCTCGCCCCCCCTCCCGGATCGCTGCGCCCGCCGCCCTCCCCACCGCCGGCCCTCTCCGGCTCCAGATCCGGAACTCCCCTCGGCTTTACCTTCCCCCGGCGCTGCCCTCCGCCCCCTCCCCGCGCGGCCTCGAGCGCCGTACCCCCTCCCCTCTGGCGGCCTCCGCAGGGCGCCCACCGGCCGGAGCTCCGCGCTCTCCCGACTGGGTTTCTCTCTACCTGCCCTCTCTAGCCCCGCAGTACCCGCCTCTCTCTATACTCGTGACCGCGGGGAACCCGCTGCGAGTCCCTAGTAACCTTGGAACTAACTCCACACTTTCCCCCAGGACTGATCTTAGCCTTTGCCCTAGGGCTCAGCTTCCTAACGCTTCCAGAGCCCCCAAACTTTTAGAGTAATTATGGACCAAAACTCTGTCCTTGACGTCCGTGCCCTCCCACGACGCTGCCGCCCGCCGCCCCTCAGGTGGACCTGCAGCCGCCCTAGGCTGCCCTTCCCTTTCTGACGCCCACTGCCCGGTCTCCCCTGCCAGAGGCTTGCAGGAAGCAAACCAGGAAGTCAGCTATCGCTGCTGCAGCGGTGGCTCCACGTGGCTGATTTATAGCTGGATTTTTTTTTTTTTTTTTATTGATCTCATTTTTTCACAGGCTCCTTAAGGAGGTGGATTTGTAACCGAAAGGCCCAGGTGAGATGTGCAAATACCACAGAACTGAAGAGGGCTCACTTGGAAAGACAGTATTACCTTTTCTCCTGAGCTAATTAGAAAGCCAAGTCTACTAGATAAAACGCAAAACCGTCCTTGTTGATGGACTTGTAAGTTTCTGCTCTGGGGAGATCGGATTTCGGGTTTTTAAAACACACGCACCATTGCTTCTCTCACAGCTGATTTTTCCAGGAAAGGATATTGGCAAATGTTTAGCTACACGCCTCTCCCGGTACATTGTGCCAAAGATGTCAATCACTTGATATCACAGGACTGTGGGCCATACTCCTAAATTACTCAATTTGTTGAACAAATGCTTTTTTTTTTTATAACAGGTTTGAGGATGGTGTAATTTGACCTTTTTAATCCTAATAATGCCTTGTCTGCGTGTATTTTGATTTAAAACAAGTGAAACTAGGTTATTAAGTCCACCCGAGTGATAAGCATTATTCCATGTACTCTCATTGAGTCAGAAATGCTTTTCCATTATTGGGAAGATGGAAAGCTGACTCTTGATGATTGCGGGCTTAGCTGGGCAGATACACAGCTGAGAAGTCCTCATCACTGAAGTGATGGGAACCGCCCCGCTGCTGTCAGTATTCTAAGACCCTCCTACCGCATCTTGAAATATGAAAGGCCAAAAAGTTAGAGATTGATGAACAGGTCCGCGGTTGTAAAACCTGTGTTCCTGTAAGTTCTTAACGTTGTTAAAGAGAAACTGAAAGTATACCTTAAGATAAACGCTTTCACCACATTTGCTGGCAGGCAGCCTTTGTAGAGAACCCTTTAGAAAATGAGAAGCTTCATTAAGTGGTTGGGTCAGGAAATGTCACACTTAGCCTCTCTGAGCCTAGGGCCCTTATCTGCCAAAATCATGATTATAATACTTCACAATATTGTCAAAAGGAATAACTGAGGCCAAGTGCATGTGCAAATATAAAGCACAGATAATATGATGGGGTAAGTCTTGGTGATTATGAGTATAATTCTTGTGAACGCCAGTGCTATTACTGCATGTAGGGATTGTTCCTCGGAACTGTTTCTGACATGTTGATCCTTGGGTAGCATTCACTGGAGAATGAAGATTAGACCTAATGTGAAAGATAGACAGTATGAACAAGAGAAGCAGTGGTCACTGACAAGCTATGAGGTCAGATGTGAATGTTGGTGACATTGTGCCTTCACCTCCCAGGCCATCTGGGGCCTCAGAAGCAAAGCTGCAAGGGAATAAAATTTCCAAGCAGGCAGTATATGCAGGATGCTTCACATTAAGCTTTATACTGCCTGAAACTGGTGTTTGCTGTTCAAATTCAGGGCAGGTTTTCTCATCTTGCCAACACATGCACAGACTTTACCGAACAGTATAATCACCTCATGTTTATTATAAAATACTTCCAGGATTTCACAGGTCAGAACCTTTACAAAGGCTTGGTGGTTTTTAAAATTCAGCCCCACATGAACTCTGCTAAAGAGCGACCCCCCAACACACAAGGGACTAAGCCCTCTTTTGGGCTACACTCCCCTGGGGCTCTCAGAGTGACCCTCATCCTGGACCCAAGCTGCAGATCTGTTTCTAAGTGTCACTGCCTTCAGGCCTTTGTACAGAGATGTCTTTTCACCTGCAGTATCTTTCGAAACCTTAACATTAAGCTTCATTGCCAGTTACAAAAGCTTTTTCTAGACTCATGTTCTTCTTCACTAAGGTATTGGCAGTACCCTACCTTCCACTGCATTTCTTCCCTAATGGTCACTGCTGTGCTGTGATTGCTTAATCTCCGCCTGCAAGTAAAAAGTTACATGATGCTGGAGACTCGCCTATGGACTTTATTGCATTCCTGTGACGAATGTGTAGAAAGGGTTTATTTAATATTTTTGGTGGAACATGAAGTAAATAATTGGATTAAAAATACAAAGGGGAAATAAAGCTTAGAAGAGGGCTTAGGAGCACTTCAGCTTTGATTGTTCTTTACCTGCCTTCCAAGAACAAAATATTGAAGGTTTTATTTCATAAGATGAGTGATTATTTTAAAGTTGTCTCTATCTGCTGGTAAGCTGTTGCTTGCCTCCTACTTCACTGATAAAGTCATAGTTTCAACTTAAATTCAGTCATTTAAACTAAATTTAAACTAAAGTCATAGTTTCAACTTAAATTCAGATTTTCCCTCTAACATTAGATAGCTATTTCTATCATAAGCTTAATGGATAATTCCTGTGTTGTACTCTTCTGGAATGAAAAATTTGTCAAGGGCTGCCATTTAATGAGATTAATGGTCTCCTACAGTGTTTTGAAGGCTAAAATGCTAATTTCAAGCTCTCTTTGATTTCATACTGTAGAATACTGTTTCTTCATAGCTGGGTACTATTTGGAGCACCTGTCACACAGAGGGCTCTTCTGACTTAGCCATTTTTTAAAGAGGTAATTGAAATACATTTTGTCTTGTCTTTGAAACCCTATCACCAGCTTTTTATCCCTGTTAGAAGTAATCCTGACCACCTCAGTTTGTCAGAGAGGACTTCTCTGAGCCTGCATAGCTCACCTCCACTTTTCTAGTTTAAGCAACAGCCAGGACATTTTCTGTTTCCAAAACAGCTCAAGTTCCCTCTCACTTCTAGAGCTTTGTGCATATTACTCCTCTTTCTAAAACATTCATGGTAGTTTTTACGCCAGCTGCCCCTGTAAACTCTAATTATTCAAATTTCAGCTTATACATCAACTTTTTTCCAGACACTTGACTGTCATAGACCCTTCTCTTCCCTGCTAGGTTGGGAATTCCTGCTGGAAGGCCCCTCTCAGAACAGAGCCCAGCCTTTGTATTTGTTCATCTGTCACCTCAATTAGACGATGTTTTTAAGGGCAAGGACTGTGCTGTCATTTAGCACTGTGTTCCTAGGATGTTGACAGTGCCTGCACAGAAGACACGCTCAGTGTGTGAGAGTGGGTGCACTCACTCGTAAGCACTGAAAATGTTGGACACATCCGGTAATATTATAGGCCAGTATCTTAAAAGACAATTATACCTGAATGTTTGCAGAAAAATGTTGTTTAAGTAATTTTTTTTTCTCTTATTTAAAGAGTTGGGGAGGAAGAGTACACTGTTCTCTACCTTATCCAACCAACATGTGTACTCCTAGATGAACTGACAAGTTCTTTCAGACTAACTATCTGCTTCCTGAAATGAATATACGTTGCCTAGAACTTTATGGTCTTTAGTTGAGAACCTGGTATCTACGAAATGGAAAAGTAGCCTGCCTTTTACTGATACCAGTGATCATAGTTTTGGTTTTTTGAAATAGGTGAAATGGAAAGAAACTTGCAGTAAAGGGCTAGAGAACCTACCCTGCCATTTAGAGCTAGAGGTTTGACTAGACAAATTTCTAATACCCTTTTACAGATTCGCTAAAGACTTAGGTTCTCAGCAGTATGGTTAAGTGACCAGAAAGTCTTCACTATTAAACTTTGTTGAGGTACCACTGTACCTTACAGTGTGTACATAGAAGCCGCTTCACCGGTGAGCAGACAAGCAGCTCCAAACAGCAGTCAGCTTATCATCATACCCCTCTGGAGACGTTGCTTATTCAGCTATGGCCAGGACCTCTCTGCCTTTAATGGGCAAAATCTGATCCCTACAAGAGAAACTAACCTCTGTGTTGCTAATATTGATAATCTCTTAGACACAGAGTGGAATGGAAAGAAACTATGTCAGTAAAAGGGGCAGAGACTCTGCATTTGCAATTTGTAAAATGAGAGCTATAGCTAGGCCATTTTGGACAGAGTCTGATACTCAAGATCTCCAGAGGAAGGCTGCTAAGATCGGGAGAGAAGGGAGGGTCAATTCTGTACTATTCAAGAGCTGATGGGAACAACAGAGAACTGGCTCTGATGTTTTGAATGTTTTTGATTAGTTTTAACAAGAGTGGGGCACTCTTAGTAATGAACTATTTCTAAAAGCCTTTTTAGACATTTCAGAGGAGATAAATAGAGCTGAATACAAATAAAGAAATCCAAAGCCAGACTGCAGTGAGATTCTGCAGGAAGATTATCCCAAATCCAGGAATTAGAGGCTGGACAGGAACTCATTATCTGTTGACTCAACCCTTCTGCTTTCGTATGCTGTGTTCCATGTCACTGGTGTACAGAAATCTCCTCTTTCCTCCAGCTATTTTCTAGCAACTGAACAGTGAACAAGTATGTTTTCTCTTTTATTTGAACACATGGCTCTGTATTAAGTGACTATTTGGAGAGTCACACCAG